TAAACAAAGCGGAAGTTCCCTCAAGTAAAGCCATTTTTCAAACTTCTTTAAGCACAGCTTCGGAAACAAAAGGGGGGGGAAATCCAAAATCAAATCCAAAGTTCTTTCATTAAAAAAAGAAAAAGAAAAAGAAATCACTAAAACTTTCCATATCAATGTTACAAGGGGTAACAATTTCCCTCTTCATTCAGCTCCACCGAAAAGTAAAAGTTAAAAAAGAAAAAAAGAAAAAAGAAATCACTCTCATTTTGAAGAAAGGCAAACCGCAGCCATCTTTTTTCTCTTTTTTTTCCCCCAGTTCAATAGGGAAGATGTAAATAAATTGAGTTAAAGTCTTAGATTGCTCAAAGTCCAGTATCCCCGGGCAATTCCGTCCGCTTATTATTACTCACAAGTCTCTATAATTCGCGGAGGTGGAGGCAACAACTCGCTTCGCTCCCCTCAAAAAAGGGAGCAAAGGCATTTGGGAGATGGAGGTTCCCGGACTCCGGAGGAGCACCCAATTTTTGCTCTCCCTAAGTTAAGGGAGGGCTTTTGGGGCTCTACTCCTATCCAGGAGTACTCACCTCGACCCCTTCGCCCGGGGCACAAAGTTCCAAGCCGCTGAACAGCTGATGTCCGCTGTTCAGGCTGGCTCTGACGCCTTCCCAAGCGGACGGCTCCAAAAGAGCCGCCATCGGCGCGCCGTCCCACCGGAAGTCAACACAGATGCTTGATAATAGAACGTCCATTCCGGCAACCCAAAACCTCCATTTTCCTTAGCATCTTGTAATGTTTTCATCTTAATTCTAGCTTTTCCCCCCTGCCAAATAAAGTTCAAAACCAACGAATTTAAATCTTGAAATAATTTTCTCTCACGTTTTATCAGAATCGTTTGAAATAGAAATTAAATCTTCGGCAACACATTCATTTTTACTGTGGCAATTCTTCCTAATATTGACAGCTGAAGATTTTTCCATCTTTCCAAGTCTAGCTTTATTTGCTTCAATAATTTTATATAATTGTCTTCTTTTATTGACGAACACTTAACTGAAAGATGAATACCTAAATATTTAACTTTTTTCACTATTTGTACCTCTGTTTTCTCTAGTAATTGCCTTTTTTGTTTATCTGTAAGGTTCTTTACTATTACTTT